GTGTTACCAACTTACACATATTATTACACTAATTTAAAATATTTTTCTCAATTTTTAACTAATTTCTTTTTACCTCGTATATATACTTAATTTTAAAAAAAACTAGTCAAAATGTTGAATCAATTTATATGATTTTCAAACTTGTTATGTAATTAATCGTAATTTGTAAAGTACACAAGCTAATAGTAATGGTTATATCAACATTTGCAACCAAAAGACATCATTAGTTATTTATTTGGTATTTTAATATTATTTCAGTATTAAATGTATTAAAATATCTCGTTTAGTATAACCATGCAAATCTGGTATATGGCATGTGGTATTTGGCAAAAGTAGAGTGGTAAAAAGAGTTATTTCGAAATAACTCATTGCCTAATAACTTCAGAAAACTGTTGTCAAACGAGTTATTTGTAAAATAGTTCAAATTATCTTAAAAATTGAACCATTAAAGATTAACTATCAAATTTAGTAAAATTGTTGTGACTTCAATCATAACTTATTCAATAACATATATCATATACATTTATCCTTACTCTCAATCGACAATATTAAGTTAATATATGTTGTTGATCGTATACCCTAAACCATCAATATATTATACACTAACAACATACCTTATACCCTAAACATATATCCCTATGAGTTGTGATTTTGCTAGTATAGTTAATTTATAGTGAAATTCATACTTTGATTGTCGAAACATAGATAAAAAAAAGTGATATTTGCTATACAATAACCATATATACTATACTCTACACCATATACACTATACCGTAACCACGTACCATAAACATAAATTAAAAAGGGATATCCTATCGTTAAAGATTTTAAATTACTTCAAGTGGACATATGTTAATAAAAAACTTAGAACCGTCAAAACCATCAAGTCTTTAACGGCAGGAGATCCCTTTTTAATTTATGTTTATGGTACGTGGTTACGGTATAGTGTATGTGGTGTAAAGTATAGGATATATGGTTAGGGTATAACAATTAGCAAATATCACTTTTTATCTATGTTTTGAAAATCAAAGTATAAATTTCACTTTTAAATTAACTATACTAGCAAAATCACAACTCAAGGACATATGGTTAGGGTACAGGTTATGTGGTTAGTGTATAATGTATTGATGGTTTAGGGTATACAATCAACAACATATACTAACTTAATATTGTTGATTGAGGGTAAAGCTAAGTGTATAGGATATATGCTATTGAGTAAGTTATGATTGAAGTCACAATAATTTTACTAAATTTGATAGCTAATCTTTAATGGTTCAATTTTTAGGATAATTCGAACAATTTTACAAATAACTCGTTTGGCAACAGTTTGCTAAAGTTATTTGGGCAATGAGTTATTTTGAAATAACTCCTTTTATCACTATGCTTTTGCCAAATACCACACGCCAAATACCAGATTTGCATGGTTATACTAAACGAGATACTTTAATCCAATTACTACTGAATTAATACTAAAATATCAAATAAACAATTAACGGTGTCTTTTGGTTGCAAATATTGATATCACCATTACTATTAGCTATAATACTTTACCAATTATGATTAATTACATAACAAGTTTGCAAGTCATACAAATTGATTTAACATTTTGACTAGTTTTTTTCAAAAAAAAAGTATATATATACGAGGTAGAAATAAATTGGTTAAAAAGTTGAGAAAATATTTTAAATTAGTGTAATAAAATGTGTAAGTTGGTAATGAGTAATGAGTTAAGTCCGCAACCCGCCCGACCCAAAACCCGATGAACCCGCAACCCGATTTGCCCTCAACCCGATTGAATCCGAACCCGATGAACCCGCAACCCCACTAAACCGCAACCCGTTTGAACCCGAACCCGATGAACCCGAACCCGATGAACCCACAACCCGACTAACCCGCAACCCGTTTGAACCCGAACCTGATTGAACCCAGCCCGAACCCGCCCGATTGACACCTATAATTGTCCATAACTTAATTATTAATTATTGATATTCACTTATTTTATATTTTATATTTACTTTTTTAATTTTGTTAAACAACTTAGTGTTCAAGTGACCTTCATGTATAAATTTTTTAATTTTCTTAAAATACATAATATCAAATGAGTTTCATATTTTTAAATTTCCTATACGAAATGAAGAAATATTTAACCTAAGTTTAGAATGAAAAATTTATTTTGAAAAACTATGTATTATATAATATAATAATTATTCAAGTGAATTAGGTGAAGTTCGGTTTGAATCGGTCGGGTTGCGGGTCAATTGGGTTTGGGTTAATCGGGTTGCGGGTTTAATCGGGTTGCAGGTCAATTGGGTTCGGGTCATTCGGGTTGCGGGTTAGTCGGGTTGCGAGTCGGGCGGGTTACGGGTTGTTGATTTTTAATCAATTCAGATTGCGGTCGGGTTGCGGTTCGGGTTGATTGGGCGGGTTAGTCGGGTCGGGTTCCATTTTGACTCCTATAGTTATGGGTTGTAGCATAAGGAATTAAGTACTAATGGCTATTACAGGTACTCATACTCTCCAAACGGGCATTAGCGGGTAACCACGTGGGTACATAATGTATTTTTAATTTCAAGTCCCATCTTGTAATAAATATTATAGGCACTTGGGTACCCCATATCCCTAGAAAAACGGTATGGGTATATCCAAATACCCGTTTACGTTGCCCACCCCTAGCTACCTTTCAAATTGATATAAACCTGAATTTTTAATGAAACATAATAGAGATTAGAGGATAAGAATGGAAAGATTTGAAAATTTAGAAGCGAGAATTAGGTATTAGATTGGAAATATAGGAGTTTTAGGAAGAGTAACTAGTAGCTTGTATTATTATGAAACCATAAAGGGGTCTATATAGATTACAAGATTTGGACAATAAGTAAGAGAAGCACAATAATTGTAATACTAGAAGGACACGAAAATACTAAGAACTATACTAGAAGGACAAGGAAATATAAGATTATTCCTAATCTATTTCTAACACGCCTCCGCAAGATGATGGTGTGAAGAACAACATCGATCTTGACCAAAATATGCCAATCTTGAAGAACACGCCCCCGCAATGTGATGGTGTAGAGTGTGATGCAAACTTGTCGAACTCTTGTGCTCGAAGAACGAATCCAACTAACCGTCGTCTTGGAGAAAAATAAATCATCAAACTTGAAATTCATACGTTGCAACGAAACTCACTCGCCGTCAAAAGTTGACTAGGATGGAGATGAATTAATCGGTGTTAACTATACCAATAAACGTAAACTGGTGTAGGACACGACAGATTCATCCGAATAACTGTTGTCACAGAAGCTTTCTTCGTTCCATACACACAAAGAAGAGATGGATGGAGATTGACTGTGGACTCCATACCACAAATGCTCTTGATCATGAAAGAGCTGAAATAAGACACATAAGATACCAGTTGTAAAAGTCGGAGCTCATCTCCGAAGTAAGGCGGCAATGGTCGATCTACATGGCACAAAAAATAGCAGAGTCGACGACAATGGAAAATAGCAATCATCAATCGATGAAAAATGGATTTGGGGAATGACAGTCGGATGCTGTTGGGGACGTGGGACAGGGAAGCAATTAGGGATAGTGGCTAGGGGTGTGGGACAAGGAAACGATTACCATATGTTTTTTTAATGAAACAAAAACTATAAAACTAATAAATAAATAAGCAAAGAAGGTAGCTTTTTGGAGAACCAGCGACAGAACTAGATAGATTCTCGAGAATGTGGAGACATACCGCCGGTGGAATGAAACAAGGAGGTTTAGGGTTTCTAGATCAATGCTGTTAGGCTACAGGCTCTGCTACCATATAGGAGTTTTAGGAAGAGTAACTTGTAACTTGTAGCTTATATTATTATGAAACCATAAAAGGGTTTATATAGATTACAAGATTTGGACAATATGTAAGAGAACCACAATAATTGTAATACTAGAAGGACACGGAAATACTAAGAACTATACTAGAAGGACAAGAAAATATAAGATTATTCCTAATATATCTCTAACAAGAAGCGCATAATTGGTTACAGATTGGAGACATAATTGGGAAACCGAGAAGAGAAGAATGGCTGCCGACCTTAGGGAGAGAAGGGACAAAAATTGAGAGGAAAAGTTTAGATTGTGACATTCTTTCTATTCTTCAACTTCACTTCGACGAGATATGCAAACTATATGTATAGTAACGACTATTATATTCTCGGAGTATACCATACTTCAATTCAAGTGATATGTACGTTGGATGTACTTCATGTACTTCAGCTAATCAAAATTATTTATTCTTATTTTGTATTAAATTTATCTTGGGGGTTGAGTTTAGAGAATCGTGGCATGTGATTTATCTATTGGAGGTTAGGGTATATTATCATATCGCAACCTCAACATAATTCATTGTCTAAATTAAGATATTTTACTAGGAGTACCTAGAGTATCGAATACTCAAAGAGTATAGAAGTTTGACATATATTTAGGAAAAGTTGAAATCCAAATAATAAACCTAAATCTATTTGGTAGACCTACTCAATTATCCCTTATTCTAGTAATAAGAATAAACACATATAATTATTATAAGGTTAAATACACTTGTATATCCAAAACTTTCACGGTTGTGCCAATAATATCCAAATTTCCCGAAATACCACTTATATCCAATTCTTTCACATTCTTTAACGGTGTTTTTGGATATACAAGTGTATTTAACCAAAAATATATTCGGAAATGGATAGATTTGGCAGAGAACAACTTTAAAACATGGATATAAGTGGTATTCCGAGAAATTTGGATATTATTGGCACAACCGTGAAAGTTTTGGATATACAAGTGTATTAAACCTTATTATAATAAGAGTGAAAGTAGGTTTTTTTATCAATCCCCACTGCATGAAAGCTATCTTATCCTCAAGATTAAAGTCATCTTTAGCTTTGCACTTATGTGCTTCTTGATAATATGTTTGGTTATTGCTCCTCCATTTCCAGTTGTGTTGAAACACCAACTTGAACCAATAAGATGCCAAATCCTTATTATGATTTCGAGCATACCCACAGTACCCCTGATTACATGTAGGAAGTACAATTTTAGACCTTCATATTATGGCCAAAACTTCATATTATTCACATATTTATCGTAATAATATCTTGAATTTGCTTCATGATCACACAGTGTGTTTTAGTAGCTCAAGGATCGCTTTTTCTATTATGATCTTTGTAGTGTTTCGTGTGTTTTCAGAACATAGCATCCTAGTGGACCACTTTGTAAGTGATGGACGACATCAAGACTCGACTGCTAGGAGCAAAAATCGAGAATGGAGTGAAGTCGTGAACCGATTACTGAATAGGCCCCTTAGCCCCATTTTGGAGCCAATTTAGAATATTCCCTGCGTGGTGGCTAAGATGAAGGGCTAATGATGTAGGGTGTATCTTGCATCTAAATAATAATTATAGACATGCTTAAAATCGTATTTCGTAGGGTCTTCAAATAACAATTACTATGTAACTAATCAACTCATGCTCAAATGCAATGCTTAGATAATGTAAAATCGATGGGTTAATGTGTCCTACTTTTAGTTGGTTTCAATTTATAAGATGAGCAAGTAAAGATAAATAGATAAGCAAGTTAAGATGAATATGTAAACATATGGATAGATAGGATAACATGTTTAGGTAGCTTCATCTAGATGATCATGCATACTATTCTCATTAATGATGTGCATCCACACATCTATTCTATCATGATGCCCTATCTCTTCCACTAAAGCAATCCAAATCAAGCTTTCGCCACATGCAAGAGGAACTATAACTACTTAATGTGTGCTTTAGCTTCATGTCACTAACTAATAAATTATAACAAGGAAGTAAGGATAGCACGTTGTTGTTTAGGATCTCGATGAATCATAAAAATGGTTCTAGGATTTGGTGACCTAATGAATCAATCATTGATTCTCATGCATACACGAAAAGGTGATCATTCAATTTATACATGCCTCAGGCAATATCATATCATATAAGAAGAGTTTCCTAGACAACTTATGATGATATCTCATCTTGTTGCATCGATCTTGGCACCGATAGTTGCAAGGAATTGTCTCCCAAAGAGTATTGAGTATAAATAATCGATCTTCAGGTTTATCACCACATAATCTGGGAAAAAGATGAAAGGTCTTGCATGGGTACTCATGCCTCCGACTATCCCAAGAGCTTGACATTTTTTTTTTTTGACAAAAGATAATCATTCATTGATTCAAAAAATAGGTAGTTACATCCTGGATTTCAGCAAGGCCTGGAAATCAAAGATACGACTCGCAGTCGGGTACAATGCAAGGGCCTTTCTAGCCACCAAATGGGCTACCATATTGCTACTCTGTCCTACAAATCGAACACTAAACCTAGTATGAAGTGCAAAATATTGCACAATTTCCTCAAGAATCACCCCTATCCGAGAATCCTTGGTATGCGCCCGAATAATCTTCTTGATGACCACTTTGGCATCGCCTTTGAACCTCACCTCCATGAAGCCATGACCTAGACACAATAAAATCGCCTCACGGAGCACCATCAATTCAACCTCCATAGGATCATCAATCAACGGGAACTGAACCCCATCAGTCAAGAGGATTTCCCTATCTCCCAGAGCTTGACATGGAGTCTTCTGTTTGAGAAAAAAATTCATGTCAACATACCACTTTCAAATTACTATTAATAGTTAGAATATCATGATATGAAAGTGTCATAACAGTGTTGTCGATCTAATCCTAAGGTTAAGGTCATGATATAACAGTGATACGATTACAACAAGCAGATTTTTAACAAATTTTTTTTGCTCAGAAGACAACCAAATGAATATAATTTTGTAGATAATAATTAATTAGTTCTTTTAATACAAAAATTTAAAATTTCATGCTAAAATAAAAAAAGATATGTCATAATACCCCTCAAAATAATATAAAAAATGGGTTCAAACGAAGGAGATATGGCCAAAGTAAGAAAAAATGAGAGATTAGAAAAAGTAGCTTTTTACTGGTAAAATAATATAAATCTTATCTTTGAACAAAAAGAATTATCGTTGTCATATCATTATGAATAGTGATAATGTCATTATATGATAGTGATATAGTAACGTTGTATGTCGGACCATAGGGGTAAGATCATAATATGACAAACGAACAAGGACTTGCTCTAGTGGTAAAATAACACTAAATTTGCACCTAGAAAGGTAAAATATATAATCTTTATCCAAAAAGGTCACATGATGGCAATAAGCTATGTTTGTAAAGGATAGTTTTTCTTTCTCTCGAAATACAATAAATAAATATCATTGTACATATCATAATTAATTAGTTATTTATACAAAAAGTTTCGATTTTAAATTAAAATGAAATAGATATATCTTAATACAACTGTAATATCATGTTGATTGTAAAGGATAGTTTTTCTTTTGCTCGAAACACAATAAATAAATATCATTGTACAGATCATAATTAATTAGTTATTTATACAAAAAGTTTCGATTTTAAATTAAAACAAAATAGATATATCTTAATACAAGTGTAATATCATATTGAAGATAAAGTCTTCATCCTTGTGCAAGCCACCGCCTACACCTATATATCTACATCTATCTATCTACTCATAATATAATAGCACAAAGAGAAAAATTGTTGCTCCATTTAAAATTTCCTACAATGAGAATGAATGTAGGAAGGACATTTTGGTCTTTACAATTGCTTATTTATTATTTATTTATTCATATAAAAAGACATGTACTAGGATTTGAACCATGGTCACTTTAAAGAAAAGAAAGGATCATAACCAATCACACTAAGTATATTTGTTGTATCTTTTTAAATTAAAAACATACATGAACCTAAATGCTGAAAATCATATGGCTTTTTCAACGATTAGTTGGTCACTGAATTTCCCGTAAGTACTTATACTTTGATTTTCATATTTTGATTATTTTAGTTGTATTTTAATACTTAATTTAAATTTCTATCTATCTTATCTACACATGATATAATAGCAGCAAGGGAAAAATCTTCCCCCATTTCAAATTTGCTGCTCCAAGAGCGTTTATAGTAAGGGTAGAATACGTAGTACTAATTTTTCTCTCTTTCCTCTGTGGAAATGGTCAACTTACTGTACACGCGCGGACTTGAACGGGTCTAGAGATTGTTGCGGCCCACAAAAAAAGAATATGTTTCAGCCATGCACATATGTTCGGCCGAACTTAGGATACCCTATTCGTGGGTTCCAAGCCCACATTCACGGTCCAATCTGCCAAAATAAAAATTTCTGGCAAGTCGTATACAATTCGAGAAATGATTTCGGCGGGAGCGCGGATTTGTTGTGGGAGAACGCGAATCTGATTAAAACTATCCTTTTGTATTGAGTTTGAAAAAAAAAACTTTGAGCCATTAATTGGGTGAATGGGTGAAATAAGAGTAGACTCAACGAGAGGCGAGAACACTATGACAATCGGCTCTAAATGGATGATGGAGATTGTCGATTAATTGAGGTCGGTCGAGCTGAAAATGAAAGAACTACCAACGAGTAGTGAGATAAGGCTCTGAGATTATAGAGATACTTCGTTCTGGAGGAAACAAGGAGTTCCGACGTCGGAGAGATATGACGACCAGTAGTCGATGTCAAACAGGAAGAGCCGACACCTTTAAATCGAGGAGAATCATCCACCGCCTCGATGCTTGTGGTTGCTGGATATTATTTTACTTTCTGTTATTAAAACAACGTAACTATAAACTTGTAGAAGTACTGGGGATGGGAAGCCCAAAGACCATTTACTAATAATCTTGGACTTTTTTGTGGCAATAATCTTAGACTTTAATTTAGTTTTTTACTTCAATTCCAAATTTCTAAATTTTATGACGGGGAAAATGGAATGAAGGATTAATACAATCTAAATGCAATAATATAAAAATATATCATTTTCCATATTATTAATTCTTTATACATTAATACTTTACAGTTTATATATTGTTAATATAAACAAAATAAATGATATTTTGTATACTAATTGTCAATTATATCAAAATACATTCAACTTTAAGTTCATATGAAATAGACGCTCTCGCGTTCTTGCTCCCGCTCTCGCTCCACGAACTGGATACCTAAGGTCGAACTGATCGTCCACTCTCCCGCCGCATCTACCCTTCTCATCTGCAAGCCAGCTGCGGATCGACGAGTGATTTACAACAAACTCACCGCTTGTACCGACCTTCTACACCGATTCAGGTTCTTCGCGGTCAATTTCATGTGAAGTGTGTGCTTTCTTCCCGTTCTGGTGACGATTCCTCCACTTCTTAGCCCGATCAAAAGTTGTTTCCATACCCCTCTGTCTTTGCTTCTCTCCCGCCGAAGAGCAGATCTGGTCGGGGAAGCGTGAAGGAGATTGGGTCTGGATATCCATCCGCTGTGTTTGCGAATTCCACCCTCCTTCCCGGTGATTATGGGTTCGGTGCATTCATTGTGCTTTCTGATTTTTTGTCATGCCATGCCATGATAATATCCAAAGAAATCAAGAATGAACAACACAATTTGGGATAGGAAACGGCATTTCTGTATTCTTAGAAAATGTTGGTAAACACGGACTCAGCTGCCGAACTGGTTTGGATTAAGATTTTTATCGGGTGTCAGGGAACCATGTGATTATAAATTAGACTTGATCAAAACGTGCCAAACTTTAAATTCAGCCGGTTTGACCGACCCTATGCCAAACTCCAATTATTCTTTACATTCAAAGTTTCTATTTGAAAATAAAAAATAGTGAAAGAAAATAGAAGACTGCAATTTGCCATTTGCACATCACTGCTTCGGGAACAAAACCATAGAAAGTCGAAAGGAAACTGTAAATATTTAGGATTGTTTTAATGTTAAAGATAACCAAATGCATCTTTCTATTTAGTTTGTTACTAACAAATACCAAACGCTTTCCTATAAAATACACTATAATTTAATCATTATGATTTCAAATAATTACATAATATATATTTGAAATGATAAAAATTGGACTAATCGGGTTGGTCAAGGTTTAATCATTTAATAACTTTAAAAAACATTATATTTTAGCCACTAAGATATAAAATAATAGCATAATATATGTTTCAAATTAGAAAAACTAGACTAATCGAGTTGGATCGTAGGTTAACCATTTAACCCTTTTCGTGAGTTGATGAATGGATTGTTCCATTCGAATTAATAACTTTGAAGACAAGATGAAACTTCTATAAAGAAAATTAATCGGTCAACGGGCTGAGTAAAAGCTAGCAACGATTGTGAGATGCTCATTTCTCGAAGACTGGAGGGATGGGCGATTTTTTATTCGGTTTTCTAGAATTTCATTTCTATAAACTTACTCCACCTCCTCATATTACCATAAATAATATTGTTTCACAAGGTAACAGGTACTCGAACTTGTTTCATAAGACTGATTTTTGATTGCATCATTCATGCCTCTTTTTTGCTAAAATTCACTATATTTATCACGTGTTTCCAAAAAAAAAACTATACAACAATCATCTATACACCCTATTATATTCTCAAATTTCGTAACTCATCTCCTGTCGATTGCCCGGGGCTCCATGCTAGTGCAGTTAATAGAAAAAGTAAAAGTGCATTTCCTGATATCAACCCCCAATTTCACTCCAACGCTACTTCAGCCTTCAAAAACTATTTTTATTTCTTCAAAATTCTCTATTAACATATCACATTTCTCGATTTCTACTTGCACCACTTTCAATTTTTTCTCCTTCTCATTTTGACAAATATGTGATGAGTCTATGACCATCCGAACTAAACATTTTGTTTTCGTCATTGATGACGTTATATTTTATGGAAAAAGTGTCCATATTCAAAAATTATATATAAAAATAAATTAATTATTACTATCTATATAAAAATAATGAAGGAATTATCTAAATAAAATGATGAAATCTTGACTAGATTATATAGGAGAAAATTTAATTTGAGGAATTTTCCAATTTGACATTTTGCTCTCATTGAAAGAAAACACATTTTAACGAAGCTAGAGTGTCAAATCTATCCCAAAATTTTACATTGTGACTTTAAGCATTGGGAATTTGGGATGGTCTTAGACAAGTAATAGAGGAATCATATTGCTCATGAAAATAATTAATCAATGGAGAAGCATATACGCCATCGATTTCCAGGCAGAAGTGTCACGGACCAACTCTTGGTCGTGCGGCACTTAGTACTCAAGTCTCGTTAGAGTACTAAGTCAGCATAGCTCGCATTCACTCGAACTCACAAGTTGGGAGAAAACTCTAGAGATGGAAACTCTCAATTTCTGGATGAATGAAAAGTGAGGGAGAGGACTCCTTATATAGGCATTCTCTCCACTTAGTACAATGTATATAGGTCAACATTAATGAATGAGCCTAGATAGTCCCCCCATACATGAACTAGCTTCATACATAAATGATAATTAATAAGCTGAATGTATGTTCACCCATACATGAATCATAATAAGTAAAGTGGATGCATGTATATTAGTGCATGAATCTAGATATGCATGCATGTACCTACACCCTTCTAGAGCATTCTAGAATCTTTCCCTGACATTCTCCCCCACCAAATTCACGATGTCCTCATCGTGGTGCCTTCTTCGCATCAGCAATATTGTTGGTGTGGTAATGATGTGCTCCCTAGTGAGGCAAGGGTGGCCCTGGTCCTTGCACAAGTTCCACTCCTCCAAGATGTCGTGCTCTCCTCGCCCTCACTCTCTTGCGCCGAGACCATAAGCACCTCGTCTGTCGCATCATGGGTCTCGCCTTTGCTACCTTGGCTTGATTTGTCATGCAAGCTTTAAAATCATAGAGTGCCTCTTCCATTAGTGGCACCACCCGCCTCTTTCTGATCTTCTTCTCGTGTGGAATGCCAAGCTTCAACGCTGCATACGTGTCGAGAAGATCTTTGTGAGCATTGTCCCATACAAGGCTTTTGTCCTCCCTTCGTCAAGCCTCACCTCTTGGAATATTCTACCCACATCAGCATAAGGAGTGCCTTCCTCTCCTTTTGTTGCGCTGGTCACCTTTACGTTATCCAAATCGGAAGGATGGCTCTCTACACTTGGAGCCTCCTCCTCTTCACTTGCCGAGTAATTGGCTACGAACATGGAGTACATCTCCCTCCACTTTGGACAATCACGCACACGATGTGTCCCATCACAAAAGAAACAAGGCGAAAGAACTAACCATCTTTGCTTACCTCGAACGTCATGGGACTACTTCTCATAGCTCTCATCATTGTTGTCGTCGAACATCCATACTCTTTTGACGCCACACATTCACCCTTGCTACCTTCATCGAACACACCGAACTCTTCCAATCTTACAACATCGCCTTTCAACGCCTCTTGCTTCTTAGGCTTTATATCATCTCCCCTGGATGCACCAAACTCTTCCTTTGGCCATGAAAAGTCCATACACATGCTAGATTCTGCCACGGATGCACCGAACTCTTTCGTTGGCCATGAAAACTCCATACACATGCTAGGTTGTGCCACGGACGCACCTGACTCTTCCGCAGACCTCTTTAGGAGACTCATCTCCCCCTTAAGCCCCACAACCTCTTCATGCACGCAAGCCAGCTTGGTCCTTAACGTCTCCTTCAATGACTCAGTCCACCTTTCCGCAAAGTCATGGAAGAGAGACGTGTCCCTATGGGCCTCGCTCATATGCTCGTCACCACGAACAGATCCAAAAGCCATCTCATCGAGATTCTTTCTTACTTGATGAGTCATGAACCGGGCTCTGATACCACTTGTCACGGACCAACTTTTGGTCGTGCTGCACTTAGCACTCAAGTCTCGTTAGTGCACTAAGTCAGCCTAGCTCGCATTCACTCAAACTCACAAGTTGGGACAAAATTCTAGAGATGGAAACTCCCAATTTCTGGATGAATGAAAAGTGAGGGAGAGGGCTGCTTATATAGGCATCCTCTCCACTTAGTACTATATATGTAGGCCATCATGAATGAATGAACCTAACTAGTCCCCCCATACATGAACTAGCTCCATACATTAATGATAATTGATAAGGTGAACGTATGTTCACCCATACATGAATCATAATAAGTAAAGTGGATGCATGTACATTAGTTCATGAATCTAGAGATGCATGCATGTATCTACATCCTTCTAGAGCATTCTAGAATCTTAACGTGACAGAAGATGCTAGAATCTACCCCTGGGCCTGGAGCCACCAAAAACCTCTACCCATTTTTTTTCTTAAATAAAAGTCTTGGTTAAGCATCTACTACTCATTAAAAGGTTTTTTGGTATTTTATCTAAGTTTAAGCTCAATCTTTCAAGAGTGAGTTATTTATGACAACCTTTTAAAGAGACATATGTCAACATTTTTTTTTATTTCTCTCCCTATTTCTTATATTTTTTGTTTGTTGTTCTTAAATCGATTAGTTGTTCGTATTTAATTTTGTATGCTTACTCATCTCTCTCGGTCGAGACATGCTTTCGTTTTTTATTTTGCATTTTTAATCATGTCTCTCGCTCGTCGTATATGATGTCAACGATAAAAATCTCTCTATCAATCAAGAAGAACGGAAGCAGCATTGGAACCAACGAAACTAAATACTCATTGAATAATAAGAGAACCACATTAATGATTTTCAAAATGTTTTTGTTGTTCTCCAATCGGTACCTATTCATTGGTCAACGAGTCCATTTTGTATTGTTTGTTTCACCTTATTGCAAAATGTGCCCTCGAAACTTATTTAACTGCTTAAATGTTCCTATTTATCAAATGAAAGTTAGACCTGCATATATTTGTATTTGTGCTCTTTACCAGTTAGTTTATTCTGTCTTACAATCACATGTAACCTTTCACATTACTCGCTTAACGCGAAACTCAACGAGCATATATAGTACTAGCGTGGGCCTCTGCCATTTAACCGGAGGAAGGTGAGGTATGAAATTTGATAATGTAATGGGGTGTATAGCTTATTGTTGTATAGTTTTTTTTGAAACACGTGATAAAAATAGTGAATTTTAGTAGGAAAGAGACATGAATGATGCAACGAATCAAAAATCAGCCTTATGAACCAAAATCAAGTACCTATTACCTTGTGAAACAATATTGAATCTGGTAATATGATGAGGTGGAGTAAGTTTTATAGAAACCGAATTCCAGAAAATTGAATAAAAAATTGCATATCCCGCCGATTTTCGGGAAATGAACATCTCACAATCGTTGCTAGCTTTTGCTCGGCCCGTTGGCCGATTAATTTGCTTTATAAAACTTTCATCTTGTTATCATTATGCTTTCTGATTTTTTGCCAAGCCATGATAAAATCTAAAGAAATCAAGAATGAACAACACGATTTGGGATAGGAACCACCGTTCCTGTATCCCTAGAAAATGGTGGTAAACACGGACTCAATTGCCAAACTGGTTTGGATTCAGATTTTTATCGGGTATCAGGGAACCATGTGATTATAAATTAGACTTGATCAAAACGGGCCAAAACTTGAAATTCAGCCTGTTTGACCGACCCATGCCAAACTCTTATTATTCTTTACTTTTAAACTTTCTATTTGAAAATAAAAAATAATGAAAGAAAAGAGATGACTGCAATTCGCCATTTGCACATCACTGATTCGGGAATAAAACTAGAGAATTTCGAAAGGAAACTAAAAATGTTCAATGTTCAAGAAGACGCTGGGCGCCACCTAGGCGAGGAGGCACCGCCCAGCGCCCAGGTCGATTAGTCGTTGCCTAGGCAAGATTAAACGTCGAAAAAAATATGATAAATATGTAAGTTTAGAGTGCAAGATCAAACATAACATTCATGAGTTCACTGATTTGCAGTTCTGTAACTGACTCTGCTGAAATTTTCTTACAGCAAAACTGATTAGCAACCAAAATAAAAGGGCACCCATCGAAGCAGCAAAGGCTAAATGCAAAATAAAAGGGTACCCATTGAAACAAAACACTAAGTAAGAACCATAATTTGGCTCTCAACAATTTGACAACTACCAATCACACATCAATGAAACGCTCATCATTCCCATGAGGTCCTAATGCTTCCAATTTCAGCCAAGGACAGCAATGCCATTTTTTATCATCTAAAGCCTAAAGATGAAAAGAAGCTAAGAGAATCAACTCGAAAGAGAAAGAAGAATCACTACCTTCAATGCTAGAGACCGAGGGCGAGGATGAGTCACGATTGGCAATGCTGGAGACCGACGGCGAGGACGAGGCGCGATTAGCGATGCTGGAGACCGACGGCGAAACTAACAACGACTGGCGATTCTGGAGACTAGAGGCGAGGATGTGGCGCAGCTGGCGACGAATCCCCCTGCTGCAAACTTGCGATGCTGGAGAAGACGGCTGGAGAGGAGGTATGAAGGCGGTCGACTGTTGGAGAGAAGGGAGAGAGGTGACGAACAGTCGAAGTCGAACAGATGGGTGGGAGGGCTACTGCTCGACTGTTATTAGGGTTTTCCCCTTTTCTGCCCATCAAAAACACACAGCAGCATCATAACCATTTTTTTTCTGGGCGTCGCCCACAGCTTGGAATCGCGGATCCAAACTAGTACTCGCCGCCTAGGCGTTCTTCAACGCGATTCCGCGTTTATGGCGCCCAGCAACTTCGCCCAGCCTTCCTCTCCAAGTTTCCTCCTCGCCTAGCTACTAAACGCGCCTAGGCGGGTGTTCTTGAACACTGAAAATGTTTAGGATCGTTTTAATGTTAAAAATAACCAAATAGATCTTTCTGTTTAGTTTTTTACTAACAAATACCAAACGATTCCCTATAATATACACTATAATTTAATCATTATGATATCAAATAATTACATAACATATATTTGGAATGATAAAAATTGGACTAATTAGGTTGGTTGAGGTTGAACCATTGAATAACTTTAAAATACATTATATTTTAGCCACTAAAATATAAAATAATAGCATAATATATATTATGCTAGAGAAAATAGCTTGTTTTAGAATGGCAAACCCATGATGTTCATTTGTTTTACTTGATGGGAAAATCCCGTGTAGGTCATGCCCATTCAACTCTTTTATTTTATGATTAGCGGTTAGCCCATTAGAATCATTGCATTAGTTTATTGTTAAATTTTTTTCTTTTTAGCAATAAAAAGGAGTATTGTTTTTGCCTTTTCATAAATATTTTACCACCACGGAGAAATAAAAGGACTTAAAGAAAAAAATCGACACTCCTGGACCCGTTTAAATCCGCATGTGTACGGTAAGTTGGCTCGTTCCACAGAGGAAAAAGAAAAAATTGACACTTCCTATTCTACCATTCCTACAAACGCTTCTGGAGCAGGGAATTTGAAATGGGGGAAGGGTTTTTTCTCTCTGCAATTATATGTTTTTAATTTAAAAAGATACAACAAATGTATTTAGTGTGATTGGTTATGATCTTTCCTTTTCTTTAAAGTGGTCATGGTTCGAATCCTAGTAAGTGTTTTTTTAATGAATAAAAAAAAGGTAATTGTGAATACCAAAATATTCTTCCGACTTTCACTATGAATGTAGGAAATTTGAAATGAGGCTTCAAGTTTTCTTATTTGACTTTTATTTATTGTGTAGACTCTAAAGTGGTCATGGTTCGAATCATAGTAAGTGTTTTTTTAATGAATAAAAAAAAGGTAATTGTGAATACCAAAATATTCTTCCGACTTTCACTATGAATGCAGGAAATTTGAAATGAGACTTCAAGTTTTCTTATTTGACTTTTATTTATTGTGTAGACTCGTAAAACCATGGCTAGCATACAGGGAAGACAGAGCCATATAATCTCTTGGACCAACTCTTATGGTTGGAAGATAGGCGGCAAAGTTGAGTTAAGCTTGGAAGGAGAACTCAAAAGCTCAAGCCAACACTCCAAAGAAATCACCGAGGATCCAGGAGACGCGACGACAGTTCGGCGACAGCGGGCAAGATCATCGTACTATGACTCGTATCGTATGAAACCTTGTACAGAACAGGTGAAAATAATTAGGACGGAGACCAAAACCACCTGTGACGTTCCTTTCGCCTACGTACTCTACCAATACACTGAAAAGCTTTACGACGGCAAGGACGCTGACTATCGTCGAAGCCGAGGTTAAAGCTCTTCATCGGTACACCAAAATACCAGTCACCTACTCAACAGTCAAAGCTATCGTCGAAGCCAATAGTTTGTAGTATTAATTTAGCAGAGCTGGCCAAACAACTACTAATGGTGAAACGACGAAGGTGCAAGGCCAGTAGCGGTTACACTAGGAAATGTTTGCTCTTTTTCTTTTATGCAAACATGAACGAAGTTTTAAAGACAGTGACTAATGGTGCAATTTGGCCCTGCCAAAATATTCTGAGCATGTATCGGTTCAAAAAAAAAAAAAAAAAACGATCTGCAGACATGCTAGTACCCATTTCCCCTCCTGCGCAAATTAACTATCAAGCTTTCGTGCCGGGTCGAGCAAGCCCCATGTAGTTATTCACCAATCCCATAATTGCAAACCTGTATCAGGAAACCCAAAAACTCAGAATTGCCACACAGAACGAGGATAACAGCCAGTCAGTTACTACTCGCTCACTGCACTTGCATCTATAACAGATTAGGATTATGGATGCTAAAAGTTGGCATAATGATCTCCATGAGACATCATAGTACAAGAACTAATACATCTATTCAGCTGCACGGGCTATAGATTCCAGAATTTATAGTATGTTACTATGCTAAGGAACCAATGAATTAAGATGTGGTATTTCTACATATGTGGAGTGAACATGACAAGAGTATGTAGACTGTAGAGTATTATTCACCCAATTCTGGCAAGGAATCAATGTTTATAAAATAATTAAGCTAGGTGTTCCTCTGGAAATTATAGCACAGCAGTGGACCATATGATAATCAAGAACAAATGCAGGACACATTTGAAAAGCAGAAAGGACAATTATGTTACGCAAATCAGTCCCACTTAGGCAACAGTTCGACCACAGTAAAGATAGCAGATCTACACATTGAAACCTCAAAGAGTTCTCTTCTTTTACTGTCAAACAACCATGTACGATGATCTGGGATATGTAGCCCTTGTCCTTGTGAGACAGTAGCAAGGGTACTTTCATGTCCCAAAATAATCTTTAAGGGAAGAGATCATATCTAAAATTGAAAGATAAACAGATAAAGGTTCCACCTTTCATTAACCTGGTGTCCCATATGCTCAACACTTACTGAGATACTTAAGAAACTGACTCCAACATCAACTGAGATCAATTCAAAACAATTATGCGTCCGTCCACTGCACTAGACTCCCATTTGTGTATCGCAATGGTGGATTTAAACACATTCATCTTTGCAGCTAAGGGTGAAAAGGCGATTAGCAAGACGGCAGAGCAACAAGCATATTACCATTATCCCAATTAACCATTGTGCCATATAACAAGCAGTACAAACAAATCAGCAACACAGCCATGAAATTTCACAGCCTCGGCAGACAATGTAGACTTGTTGTTAGCACTTACATGGAGGCCATGGAGATCTGCTTCAGGTCATTCTCAATGTTCTTCATATTGGCAAGCGACTGGGCGCAAAAAATTAGGGCAACCCACGAGCAAAGCTTGTACTGCGAAGGAAGAAAATGAACTGTAAGGACACGAAAGATAAGCACAATCCAGATTCAGAGCACCGAAAATTTCCAGCATTCCACATCTCCTAATTAATGGCAGCGAAAGTAAGTAGGACATCCAAAACCATCAAATTGGAATAAAGAGAAAAAGGCAGTAGCTTCAACACAGTCGATGTATTTGAATCGAAAGTGAATGGGAAAAAAACCCAAAGGGAAACTGAATTTGGCGAATCAAGCAAGTTGGGGAAGATAAATCTCGATTTGTTTTAACAAAGTAGACTCACCCGGAACATGACGCCGGCTATGCCGAAGAGGACAGCGAGGAAGCCTGAGTAATCGACGGGCATCTCCTCCGGCGAAACCACCGGCGGGACGAAGGGTTTCGCGGCCGCTGGCTGTCGCGGATCATTGGCCGACATCTCTCTTTCTCTGTGTTTTGGTGGGGGAAAATACGTCTCTTTTTTTGCCGGCAGCCGTAGCCCGTAAGACAGTCCTTTTACGGTTGATCTTTCTTCTGGTTAAATACGAAAGTAAGCACTCAACTCAACTATATAGTTCAGTTTGGTCACTGAACTAGTGAAGTACTCTTTTTTTTTCTTTTTCTTTTTGGGAGAACCAATGAAACTATCTAACACTGGTTTGTGGCCCGGCCGATTGGCCGGGTGGTTTTCATTCTTGTAATTTGATCTTTTCTTTGAAAATAATTTATATTCATATAATATTCTTTACAATTTAACAATTTAGTGAAAATCTGAAAAGTCAAAATTAAGTATAAAATTTTAATTTTAAAGTAGGAAAATTAAATTCCATCTTAAAGTAAGGAAAACAAATCCCATATTAAACTACACGGGGCGTTCTAAGTCAACATGCATGACATTATTCTTACTTAAAATGATGGTGTGTATCTTCAATAATTAACTCTAGACTACCAACACTCAATTTTTAAACTGAGCATCCATTAAGGGTTGATCTTAACATACATCATAATACACGAATATATGTTTATAAAATCATTATCTAAATTCCAAATTTATGAAGTCTTTGATTTATATATACTTGAACCGAACGCTTTATTAATGTTTATGGGTTGTTATACCGAGTATTTTATGATTCTATACCGAGTATTTTATGATTTTATGATTCAAACGGTCTCATATAGGTTAAGTATCTGATATTTTTAGCCATTTTTATTGTTGATCTTGTAGCAGGTATATGATATAGCTATTAATTATTAATTTAAACAAAATAATGACTTGGACTAAAGTTAAGCCCAACCATGTAAAAGTTAAATAACTTGTATTTGGAAAAAAGGAGAAATACTAAAAAGTTTGCTTCAAAACTCATTGATGGATAAAAAAAAATATGATGACTTGTGTTTTAGTGGGTAGTGGGACTGAAAAAGAAAAGAAAAAAGAGCTAAAAATTAGTAGGTTAGTTAGACAAATCCAGGAAAGAAAAGAAAAAAAATTTGATAGTGGAACATGCGAATAGAGGAGAAGGGAATGGACATATTAGCCCCTCCGAAATGTAAGGTATAGCCAGCAGTGGCTGATGTGGCAAACTGAGTTTTTTGATATTGTCTTATAGGTATTTTTAGAGTCCCTTAAAATTGCTAAATATCGCCCTAAAAAATATCAAAGTTACAAATTTAACCTTTTAGCTTCTTTACTCTTCCTTTAGCAAACAAACACCACTTAGTAAATAAAATAAAACATTATTCAAAAGAGAGAATCCATCATCGTCATTCTGGAGCTGGAATCGTTGATATGATGTCTAGATCATGACTAGCGACTCTGAATCGGTAAAGTTCACTAAAAAAAGTGGAAAAAAACAAAAAAGGAAACCGTAGCTCATTTGTGGTTGCACCATGAGCCAACCGCAGCTCACTTGCGGTTGGTCCATGGTGCAACCGCAGCTCACTTGCAGTTCCACCATGGGCCAACCGCAGCTCACTTGCGGTTGCACCATGGACCAACCGCAAGTGAGTTGCGGTTGCTCCATGGACCAACCGTAACTTGCCTTAGGTTGAGCGTTTTTTTTTTTTTTTGAAATTTCGTTAGAGAACGGGCGACGACGGCGGGAAAGACACCGACGAACTGGTGCGTCGAGAGAGATTCGCGAAGAAGGCAGATGAGGGGTTCAGTTTGAGGGGTTAGGGATTGTTTGGTTTGTTTAAATTTTGAAATTTTATTGGGGTATATAAGTCATTTATCATTAGAGTTAGGGCGACCCTTAGCAATTTTAAGGGCAACATTTAGCGATTCAGTTTTTAGATTAGCATTTCCGCTTTAGGAGATGATAACAGTAAAGAGATGTTTTTCTTCTGTAACAATGCATCCATTGTATTGTTGATGTGATAGAAAGAATCACTCAAAATAAGTGATATTAATATCTAACGTAAAACTTGAAATTGTTGAAATAGTTTAGTGCAGTGGCGGATACATGGTGCTTTAGGGGGTGTCCCGGGACACCCTTAAATTTTGGGAACACGATTATCCAACCCTCGGTAGTAGTTTCCTATGGATAAACAAAATATAATTGGTAATCTGGGACACCCCTAAAATTTTAATAAACGATTATCTTACTCTCGATAGTAGTTTGCGTATGATTAAAAAATATAAGTGGTACTCTGTGTTATTCAAATCTAGGACACTCATATTATTAAACATCTTCTCCATTAGGTTATAACTCATTTGTTGTTCTATTTTAAACATTATGTAATGGTAAAAATGCAATTTCTTATCCCCAGGGGTACCCTTAATTTGAATTGATTTTATGGTTACACTGCAAGTGTTGAAACAGTCTTTTCAACTTTGAATTACATCATGGATAAGGTTAGAAATTGAATATGCAATCTATTAGGATACTGATTTGTTGAGCAGTATAGACACCAAATCTATCTTATATTTTTTTCGAAATATGAAAACACATCGTGGCTTTTTGTCAACATTTGTACTAATTGGGAATTTTATTATTTATGTATTATTTAATTATTAATTTAACTATTAATTTAATTTAATTTTTGGAAGAGGACACCCCTACAAAAAAATTCTGGATCCGCCATTGGTTTAGAGGAGATTGTTTGATTCTTTTTTTTTCCAATTATATTCCTATTTATTTATATTACCCTTGAAATTTTATCATCTAATCCGTTGTCATTTTTTCGGGAACACCCATGCTCAGTTCCTTCCACTTTTTTCGTGGATGTCTCTACCACCCGTTCAATTTAACACTCTGACCCTTTAAAATTTCATCGTCGGTCTAGTATCCTAAGTCTCGTTGTTTGTCTAACATATGCTATTAGTGTTTGTATCCTCAAGTCGAATACATGTGTCTAGCTCTATTGATTAAAGAAGGCTAGAATTACTACAAACCGGCATTCATCTATAACCCATAAAAACAAGGGTAAAAGTGATATTTCATACACAAAAGAATACAAATTTCTGGGGTTAATTGCATGGTTGGTCACTGAGATTACAAAAAACGTTCAAGTTTGGTCACTCGAAATATTTAAATCCATTGGTGGTACTTCAGTTTACTGAAACCGTTCACGTTTGGTCACTCTCCGTCCAACTCCGTTAACTTTGGCTGATGTGGCAGTCAATTCTCAAAGTTGACCAAACTTGAACGTTTTTTGTAATCTCTGTGACCAACCATGCAATTAATCCCAACTTTTTGAATACTAAAATAACTATCACCAAAGTCAAACAAGATAAACTACATTATATCATTTTCCTTAATTGCATGCATATTACAATACGTACATAATGCATTAATCACAATAACATTGATTTAAGTATCACCAAAACCAAACCAATCCCTTAATTTCTGTGAGAAGAACAAAAATGGTGTTCTGTCTATTGTCCAATTTTTTCTACCCTCCCCTAAGGGCTTGTTTACTTTCATTTATGTTTCCTTTTTTGAGAAAACAAATGTTGAAAACAGGTGAAAACAACATTTTGTCGTTTCTGAAAACAGCAGGAAGTTGCCACTTTCTGTTTTCATAGTTGGAAACGAATAGAAAACAGAATGAAAAGTAAACAAGTTTTCTCATTTCGGTTGCCAAATTTATCACATGAAAACAGGAAACGAAAATGGAAGTGAACAGGGCCTAAGGATTCCGCGAATTAATGGCAACCGGAAGCTGTGAAAGGAAATGAAAAACTCAACCCCACTTACTCTTATGATCTTATCCTTATTTGGCTAACAAGCGTTCAAAGTAGTACCCAAATTGTTCACGAGTGGCTTTACGTTTGATTCGGAAAAAACTTATTCGAGATTCGGCATATTTACTAATGAGTTGATCTCAAACTGCGCCTTGTTCAGCTTGTAAGGCTCGCGAGCCAGCTCGACTTGGTGGGTAGCTTGTTGAGCTAACTCGTGAGTTAGCTCATTTGTGAGCTATGGACTGGCTCGATAGTATAGTTAGCGAGCCTCCTCTACTAATAACTTAAGGACGAATCGAATAATAACTTACTAGTTGGCTTGTAGATACTTCATACATTTGTTAGATTACATATATCATCATATGCAATGTTTAAGACTATGAAGATATGACCAAATATGTCTCATTTATATTTTTAAACTGAAATTATGTATAATAGATTGTTTAAATACTAATTATTATCAAATAACATCATATGAAAAAATAAAATTTATGAACTAAATTATATGATACCTGAGCTACAGCCTATCTCGCGATGTGATTGATGAACAAAACTCGAGTAAAGTTCGTGAGCTCATTAACAAGCCAAGCTCGAGTCAAACACAAGCTAAGGTTTTAGTAAACAAGCCAAACTCGAACTCGACTCGTTTATTAACAAGCTAAGCTCAAACTGGGTCAAAACTCGGATCGATTTGGCTCATTTGTAGTCCTATTTGGAAATAGGGTTGGCAAATGGATTGGATCCATGGATCATATGGATGGCTGGATTCATTAATTAGATCAAATAGACCGGTGAATTGGATCATGGATCCAAACAACATCTAAAGATTGGATTAATATGTAAAGTTTAGGTACTAAAATGACATAATAAAAAAATTTAGATACCAATTGTAATATTCCAATGATATTTTTTTGTATACAAATAATTTTATGTAATAAATTGTAAAATTTTAAAAATATAGGTGCTAAACTATGATTTGCCAATAATACATGAATCCATTAGTCTAATTGGATTTAGATCTAAATAAATTGGATTAGTTTGAGATTTAAGCAGAAGGATTATATTGGATTGGTTTGAAAATTGACACATATACCTGGAAACAACAAAAGATTCCGAATTCCAAAGGGAAGAGACTTGGTGGGGGTAAACTTTTTATCAATTCACTGAACAAATCATCTAACCCAATCATTACTCTTCCCTTGTTTAGTTGTTTTAGTTCTAGTCTTCCTTCAATATGGATTGTTTGATCGCTCAAAATTGGGGATTAAAATAGAGCTTCATTTCTGTAATGCAGTCCAGGGAAGAAAAGGCTGTTTGGGCTACTAGCTTTGCAGAAATTCATTCAGCCTACT